GAAGGTGGGTCGGATGGAACATTTGGCGACGGCTCAGACCTGTGTGTTGGGTATGAGTTTGCCTGCAAGGCTGATCTAAAGCGGAAAATGACAGAGGTAGCCATTGCTGGTTGCTTCGAAACAAAGACAGAAAAGAGTGATACAACTCGATATATTCTGCGTTGCAGGAGTGCTAACTGTAGTTGGATGATGCGTGCATTTTCCGTAAAGGACTCTCCTAGATTTATAATCAAAAAGTACAACAAGTTGCACAACTGTGCCGTTGGTGAACGAAAGCGCAATCATTGACAAACTACGTCGAGGTACGTTGGGGAGATTGTCTTGGCTACTCTAGGTGGTTCTCGGGAACACATTAAGCCAAAGACAATCATGACACTTATGCAAAATAAGAGCATGCCCATAACATATACAAAGGCTTGGCTAGGTAGGAAATTTGCAAACGAAAAGTTGTATGGGAAACCATGCGACAACTATGCGAAACTTCCTTTTATATCTGCACGTGTTGAAGGAGGCAAACAATGGAAGAGTATACACTAATCTAGAGGTCGATGATGATGGTTGTTTTAAGTATGTCTTCATAGCCTTTCACGCATGTACTTCAGGATTTAAGTTCCTCAGACAAGTAATCTCTGTTGATGGCACGTTCTGCAAAACACTTGAAAAAGGTGTTTTACTAATTGCCACAGCACAAGATGGTGCCTTCCATCAGTATCCTCTTGCATGGGCCATTGTAGACTCTGAAAATAACGACTCCTACTCATATTTCTTCGGTCATCTTCGTCAAGTAATCAAAGATCATCAACATTTGGTCTTCATTTCAGATAGGCATCCAAGCATCGAGAATGGTTTGAGAAAACATTATACTCTGGCAGACTACGGGTACTATCGATATCATATTCACTGTAATTTAAAAGGTCCATTAGGAAAGAAGAACAAAGATGGTTTAAAGCTATTTGATCATCTTTCAAATGCCTACACGGTGAAGACTTTTCATAGGATTTTTAAGGAATTTGAGGACAGGTATCCCAATGGGGCTAGGTACATAAGTACTATTCCGAAGGAAAGGTGGGCAAGGGCTTTTTTCAAGACAAACCGTTACAATATAATGACGACAAATGGGACAGAGAGCGTTAACAACGTCCTACGACACACCAGAACACTACCCATCCTAGCATTGTTGAACGGAATGCAATCGAAGACTGCCGAGTGGCGGGGGAAACGACATACAGAGTTGAATGCTCTACAAAACTCTAGCAGTCCGCTCACTCCAGATGTGGAAGCCTACCTTCGTAGGCGGTACCCTATTGCTTTGAAGCTTTTGAGTATGCGTTTGGGCAATCATGAATTTCAAGTTCAAGGAGTTACATCGGATCATGTTGTGAACTTGCACCAAAAGACTTGCACCTGCCGCGTATTTGACCTGGACAAAATTCTTTGCGTTCATGCATTAACATGCTTGACGGATGATATCACGAGGGAACTGGAGATAAATGCGTACGACCTTTGTGATATTAGGTACACCAGAGGTCACGTCCACCTAGCATACGGAGAAATAATATATCCAGTACCGGCATATGAGGAGTGGTCTGCCAATGGTCTATCTCTCTAGCATGTAAAACCACCAAAAACGAAAAAGAAAAGGGGAGGCCACAAACAAAGCGCATTCCATCAGCGGGAGAGAAGAGAAGGACTTCCGATTTGACTTGCTCTGGATGTCATAACAAGGGACATACAATACGGACTTGCAGCAAAAATACACAAGAACAACCAGAAGCAGAAGAAAACACGCAAGAAACAGATTCTGATATCGAACCCAAAACACTGATAATGGAGAAGAAATTTAGTCGACCTTAAAATCGACCAGTCAACATTGGTCGACCTTAATAAATTTTTATTTTAAATCTATTCATTATTTTATTTTTTACTAATTTTAAACATCAAAGAAGAGTTCAAAACTAGCATTGAAAAGAAAATATAATGCATCTACATTAAAATATAAAAAAAACAAATAATACATCTATAACAAGATTAAAAATAAATACACTCTTTGTCGACTTTCTGGATGCAATATTTAAAATCGACCAGTCAACATTGGTCGACCGGAATAAGGGGTCGATCAAGAGTGAATTATTTTCTACTATTGTTCATATATTCTTTTCATCTCCACATCTTTTGACTTTCTCACTAAAATAATATATGACGTTTTTCATATATGTTCAATAAAATAATTAATAAATTTTTATTTTAAATCTATTCATCATTTTCTTTTTTACTAATTTATAACATCAAAAAGAAAATATAATGCATCTACATATTGTAGTAACGGCACGTGTGATGACAAATACATATAGATTCATAGACACATGTCACGTGTGCATGTTAAACATTATTAAATCTTCATTATTCTACTATTGTTCATATTCCGTATATTCTTTCCAGATTTGATGTGACCGATGAGGGTATATCAACAGATAAAGTATGTGTATTAATGACGATGGCCCACACAGCTTAAATACTGCTTCATTAAAATATTTCAATAGTTGAAATATCAGATTTAAGCAGACAATTATAACAATCGGGTCTACTTCCTAATCGACATTTTTGGTCGACTAAAGGTTTAGTCGATCAATATGAAAACGAAATGTCGACCCGAATAACACGCAATCAACTGTAATTTATTAAGGTCGATGGATATTTTATAAAGGTCGACCTGACCCTTCCAAAACAATCCATTTTGGTTTATGTATTTGAAAACAGGTCTACGATTGAGAAAACATCAATACAATTAAGAAAATATGACTGTAGCGTTTATACTAGAAATGATTGCAATCATACTAAAAATATATACAAAACAACCACCAAATATAAAAGCGTTAAATAGTTTTAATAATTGGTAAGCCTGGGTAGCATACGATGGCGAAAAGCATAAACAATGATTGTATTTTCTGCAATGAAGGTAAGCACAACCTTATCCCCAAGCCTTAACCCGTTGTCCTCCACAAAGTTATGCCATCCTTTGGAGAGCCTGCAACCAATCTCCTTGACAGAGAGGGTGACTTCATTGGGATACATTGCCGGGCCATAAATCTTACTCCCTCCGTCCCACTCTCTTTGTCCACTTACCTTTTGGCACACCATCCAATGCATTTCTTTAATCCATTTTATCTTGTAATTTGTATATTAAAAAATTATAGAAATTATATATTAATAATCTATATGTTAAGACAAATCAAACAAGATCACACATGACTATATTTAGGCTTACACATTGAGAGAATTTGATGAGTCAAAGTGCTTAGATGAACCGTTCCAAAAGTCAAAAGTGGACAAAGAGAGTGGGACGGAGGTAGTAATTTTCATTGTGCCATCAGAAATTCCGTTGTCAGCGCAAAAAGACCTTGGCAACTCCTGAAACGAGACATTAAAAAACCTTAAATGATATTTCAATCGATTGGTATGTATTTAAAAAGAAAAAACATTCAAACAAACCAAATATGACTCCTTGGGGATAACATTGTGCGCCTCCAGTTTATGAACAAATGAACTTTCAATATCATCATCATCCTCTCCTGCAAAACAATAAAAAAATGAATCATTCAACAAAATATCTTTCATTTATGACTAAACTCGTGACTTATTCATATACATATATTCTTACCTGAATCATAATCTGGAAACATAATGGGGTAGGTCACCCAATTGTCTTTGCCAAAAACTGTAACCAATAAACAAAACTCCCCAATTTTTTTAAAATGTAGAACAAATTTTGGTTGCAGTTGGTGTGCAACGGCAAAATCCTTCCATCCAGATTTGAATCGGTGTTTCCCATCATCACCAATGTAATGTTCGACCGGAAAGTATCCAATTCGAGTCAAGAGAAGCACTATCTTCTCGGAGGGGCTCAATACATCAGAGGGAATCACCTGTTCGATGATTTATTTTTTAAAAAACCCTTCTTTATAATATAAAGTGGATACAAATTATGTGATGCGTAGTTCCTAGATCTTACCAGGGTTTCAATGCAATCGGTTGACTCCCGCGGCATGCGGCAAGACCACTCTTGCGGAGAATTCCTTACACGACGCGAGGAAGAAGCCATCTCAACCTGTGTCTTACTTACACGGGTGCACACTGCACAGAAACCAGAAAATATGGTTTTAGAAAGATAGAGTGATAGAGTTATTTTATCCGGCGGTGACCAAAGGTCGTGACCAGTCATCGAGAAGTCAAAGGTCATAACTAGTCATCGCGAAGTTACACCAATTGAATATTGAAAAATACCGAGTAATAAATCTTTGTACGCGGGAATAATAATTTCCAAAACTCTTTGGAACTAAAATAACTACCAATAATTGAAAAGTAGGGTCCACAAATAAACTAAACTAACTATAATAGTCACAAACAGTATTGACACTAGAGCCATTCAATGTCTAAAAAAAAGTAGGGTCCACAACTAAACTAAACTAACTGAAATAGTCACAATCAGTATTGACACAACCAGCCATTCAATGACTAAAAAGGTATGGCCCATGACCGAAGGAGACGTGTCCGCAACTAAACTAACCGCAATAGCCACAACCAGTCAGACACCCGAGCCTCTCGATGACAACTGACTACCCCATGACCGAAGGAGA